CTCCCACTCCCCCTGCTTGTGTTCCCTCTCTCGCTGTATCTCTCTCTGTCAAATAAATAAATAAAATCTTTAAAAAAAATTCTGAAGACTGTATACATATATGCGTGTGTATTATGTGGGTCTCTTTACATACACACGGACAAGAGAATGAATAATCACTAGTAGGATGTTCAGTTAATTAAACAAGGAAAACCCCAGACAGAGTGGCCCTAATGTGGTGGTGGTGTACATAAGCAAACCAAATCCAAGCCTACGAATGCCTAAAAGTTACAAAATCAAAACCTAAGGACAACCAATCACAAGCAGCCAACTAGACTTGAAGCGGTGACCAATCCATGATTTCCTTGCTTTGCTTCTGCCTTTTCTCTAGAAAAACCTGTTTCTAGCTCCTGCCAGGCAGGGGAGCGCCCCTCACTACTTCCAGTTAGGCACTGCCTGATTCCACCGATTTTTGCTCAAATAAACTCTTCAAATTTTTAACAGACCTCAGTTTATCTTTTAACAGGGGGCTTGTAGCTGCCAAGAGTGATTAGCAATTTCATCAAAGCTCTATTATCCTTCCCTTAGGTTCACTTATACCTGCTGGATCTATGTTAGTGACTCTAGTATGACATCTAAGACGGACATTCGAACATACTGGTGAAAAGTCACTTTTAATTTTTTCATGATTCTCAAATAACCTAATTTAGGCAAAACATTTAAAATGTAGAAGTTGGCAGTGGGCTGGGGGAAATTTGCAAGGTGTGTGAAGGTAGATTTAAATTTTCTGACTGATCTCTTTGTATTGATAGTACTTCAAAAATACTTAAGTGTACAGCTGATCCAGGCTCCAGTGGGGCCTCGGAGCTAGTAGTCTCTAGCCCACTAGGGATGCTCCCAACACTGGTTGGGGTTGATCTGAATTGCTGCTTTTTTGAACAAATGCCAAGGCCATCTTGTTCACTCTCTTTTCTCTGAGCTTTTAGGTAGAATTTTACTTATTTTTTTAAAGGTTTCATTTATTCATTTGAGAGAGGGGGAGAGCCCAGAGGGAGAGGGAAAAGCAGACTCCCCGCTGAGCATGGAGCTGAGCACGGAGCCAGACCCAGGACCCTGGGATCATGACCTGAGCCGAAGGCACTTAACCCCAGGTGCCCCTTAGGTAGAATTTTAAACATTCAATTTAGCTAGTAACCACTTGTAGTTTTATTGTGTATAGGACAAGTGGTGTGAATTATATACCAGAAGTAGTGAGTGGTGGTCAAATTCATGGACTTGCTCTTTGGTGTTCCTTGCTGGAGACAATGAAGAGTGTATGCTGGGGCCCCTGGTTGGTGCAGTCAGTTGAGCTTCCGACTTTTGGTTTCAGATCAGGTCCTGATCTCAGGGTCCTGATCTCAGGGTCATGAGATTGAGCCCCGAGTCTGGAGCCTGCTTCAGATATTCTCTCCCTCTCCCTCTGCCCCATCCACTCATGCGCACGCTCTCTTTTAAAATCTTATTAAAAAAAAAAAAAAAAGTGAATGGTCTTTATTCATGATACCACCACCAGCAGTTGTCCTGATTTATGATTTTGAAAATCTGCTGTCTTTGAATCACATTCATTAAGGCATACTCTTTGAGGTGGTTTTTCCCTAATGATGATGAATTCCTGCTGATCCAAGCACTCTTTCTGAGTCCTTTTATGTGCCCAAGAACTTTCATTTGCAAGACAAATGGCTGGTTGGGGGCAGTCTGTGCAGACATGAGAGAAGTACTCTGGGCCTTGGAAACACTGTGAGAGTATTTTTTAAACCTAAGCTGAGTTCCACAGTTTTTGGTGTTTGGGGGGTTCTTCATTATTTGTTAATATGTGTGGAGAAAGTATAAAACTTACTAAGAAGTATAAAGTTAGCCACCTTTAGTTTTGCTTTTAATTCATAACCGTACTGAAAAGAACACAATTGCCTGAAATTGAGAATAGTCCAGAAAATTGAAGGCCTGTCTCTTTTGAGTCTTGACTTCTTTCTGAACCCCCAGTATGTGTTTCAACTCTCTCTAGATGACCTTCAGGCATGTCACGTTCAGCATGTTCAAAAGCAAATTCCTTACCTTCTCTCTCAGACCTCCGCCTGGGCTTGTCCTCGCAGTCTCTGATGTACTTCCCAAGCCTGAGCCATCCTTGCCTCCCCTTCTCCTTCCTCATAATAGGTCAACCACTTTTACTCTCAACTCACTCCGTCAAGTGACTCCTTGCTCCTGCCTCTATTTCTGTGCTCTGTTTTAACTCAAGCCTTCATCATTTCTCCCAAACAAATCCTACTCAGATGTGTGTCCTAGGGCTACAATATAAAGGTCGCCAGTGGCTTAGGATCCACTGTCCTTCCTGATTCATCCTCACCCAGCATTTGCCCCAACCCTACAATGTCCTTTCATGACTCCATACTACCCTTTGAACTGGGGAGCAAGCACTGATTTGTCATTTAAGACCTAGCAACAATGATGCCTTCTTTGGGGGGGTGTTTCCTGACTCCACCTACTGAGTTAGTTACTGTGTCCCCATACCCTCATCCATACTTCTTTTGCATAGGATAATTAACTGCTTAGCTTTCTTTCTCCCTAGAGACTGTGATCTCATCAAGGACAAGCACTGTCTTAATTATATTTCTAGCAGTCATTCGAGTGCTTGGTAATTAGAGGATCTCAGATGTTCGCTGTATAAAAGGATGGATGGATGGATGGATGGGTGGTTGAATTGAAAGTATGCCCTGGGATCTGGTAACAACATGTTCTAAATAACGAGGCACCTTGCCTCAGACAGGAAACATCTGCAGTGGTACATGGCTTGAGTAGATATTAGAGGATCTATGTTTACCCTTGAACTTGTGTGGTATTTGGCCATTGGGTCTTTCTTCTAAGTGCTTTCCCTTCTGTATGCTTCCATAGGTATTACTGGCCTCTCTTACCTTCCCCCTACTCCACACACACATATGAACAGGGAATTTTCTCTCTAGTGTATCCCCTTTATTAACAGCCTTTCTTGATTGATGGCAGCCTTTTGACTATCACCACCCAAATACTCGGCCTCAATCTTTACTGCCCCTTCCCCTGTGGATACCACAGTTCTCACTCTTCTAAATGATGTCTGTTAAAAAGCTCTACACTTAAAGCAGTGGAGTCCGTTACTCTGTAACAGTCTCATGATTACCACCCCTGCCAGATAATCTCACCTGACCGTGGATTTCATCACTGCATATCTGGCTGACTGCTCTGTGTTGCCCATGCAGAAGGTAGCTTAAAGTCCTCCATGACCCCAGCCTGCATGCAGACGAAACAACTGGAAGTCCGGGCGGGGGGTCAAACCAGCCCTCTTCCACCCGCTATGCTGCCGTGGAGCCCAGCAGAGGCCTGGGAGCTGGTGGTCAGGTGAGCGTCAGCACTCAGAGCCGCACAATGTGTGACTTCCTCCAGACGAGGTCGGGGAACAGAGCCACATGTACGCATGGAGAGTGTGGGCGAAGGTGATAGCACGTCCTTCTGTTACAAATTGAGTGCAACCAGTTCATCATGTGACCTGCTGATAAAGTTTGATAAATAAGGAGGTTTGGAGTTGGGATTCTCTCAAGGTAGAAAAGAATAAACATCAAAGCCTCTGTGAAAATTATGCATTGATTGGGAAGTGGTTGCTCATTAGCCTTATAAGATATGGTAAGTGAACAGCATCTACTTTCCTCCTCTGCTCCATCACACACTTGTTTATTTTGTGGGCTACTTTTTAAAATTGTGGCACCAGGCGTTGTTCTTCTGTGGGGATTATTCTGTTACTCTTTGCCATACTTTGGACACCTGGAAGATTTGGAAGAGCTTTGATGCCCTTTTTTTATAATAGAGCCTTGGGAATCACTTAAGAAGAACTTATGTTAGATAGAGTATTAGCACCCATGAGAAGCTAATTCTAACTGTGCCTTTCTAACTATTCAAAAATTCAGGTTTAATCATATGGTTAATTCAGTGCTATAATTTCCTTAATCCCATGCTTATTAGATCAATAACTGATTAAGCAAGATTAAATCTGCAGTTGGTTGGCCCCACCCATAATATCCACTCCTAAGAGCTCATCCCTTTCTCTATATAGCTTTGTTCACAGCCCCACAACATTTTATCATTCCAGTAGCACTCTGCCTAGGAGTGTACTAAATATACTAAATGTACAAAAGTATTAAATGAAGTCAAAGTGAGAGAGTTAGGACTTCAAAAGGTTTGGGAGGGCAGCCTTATGAAAGTGAAAATGGCAGAACAGAATGGTATGTGGTCGTGATGAACTACAGAGGGCGCCACGTGGTGTTGAAATTCCATCTGCATGCCTGTGCAGCTGGTTGGGTGAGCCTCGGTCTGTCTTGAAGTGGAGGCTGGAGGGCTGACTGCACTGGGTGCAGGGGCTGGGAGGGGGAGGGGCAGGAAGGAGAAAGGAGCCAAGGAGTAAAAATGGCTCTTGAGATTGAGGGGCAGTATGAAGCAACTACTCATTGCCCCAGCTTGGAACTTGGACATAGTAATATCTTCGGAGGGCGCAATTGAATCCTTGAGATGGAGACCAAAAAAGAAAAAGATACGTGTTTGGCTCTTCCTCATTTAGCCACTCCACCCCGGCTTCACCTGTAAGCCCCCAACCCAGGCATTACTTTATCTATATATCTGGATCTGTATGCCAACACCAGATCTATATCTATAGATCTAGGTATATAGACATACCAAGTCACATTTTTAAACAAGAGCTGCAGAATGCTTGGAAGCAGATGCCCATGAACTCTTTCCAATTGTATCTAGAATTTGTTTTAACCTAAAGTTATGGAGACAGACTTGAAGGGAGACCTCCCCAACCTTGCTAAAATGTAAGTACAAAAAGGCACAAATTGGATGGATATTGATGATGTTATTTCTACTGTGACATCATCCATAGACTCCTAGTGTCTTTGCTTTGCTTCCCTATAGTGATCACAACATAAATTACTTGTCTTGTTTGACTTCCTTGTTCACCAAAGTTGAGCAGATTGTGGCCGTTTTCAACGCTTCTACCAGACAAAAAGCTTGGGACCATTTCTCGAAAGCTCAGCGCAAGAACATAGACATTTGGCGAAAGCATTCTGAGGTTGGTGACTTTATTATTACTTTTTAACCGCCATCACACAACTGGATTGGCAGAGAATAGTGTGGCGGCAGACGTTTCGGGTTTTTGTTATAACAGGCAGCTGTTGTGCCATTGTCCTGTCGCACTGTCAGCTCCAAATCCAGCTCAGATTTGTGCCTTATCCAAAAGAGCAGCTGACTTAACACTTAGAAAACAGAGTGCTTTTCTACCCCTGCAAAGGGAGAAAAGCATCTCCCATTCATGGCAAAGAGCTCGGAAATAAGCCAAGACACTTTGCCTGCCTATTCTGAAGAAAAGTGTAACGTAAAATAGAAAACTGGCTTTTTAAATAAATATGGAGGGGTTTTTTTTTTTCAGTGTTCTGCAACGTGATGATGATGGTTTGCTCTTTGGGCTAGAAACGGCAAGTACGCCTTTCTTCTATGCCTTCCCATCGTAAACAATGCCTTAGTCCCATGTGCTAGCCAGCCGGGTAGGTAACAGCTCTCTCCAGAGCGTCTTTCCCCGGGGGGGCAAATGTCCAGGCTAGCCAGGGTCCACCCTTCTGCAGCAATGCGTGTGTGAAGTGTGAGTATCCACCCCCGAGGAAAGAGGCCAGAACTTGACCTTCCTTGCCACCTGGAAAGACCAGAATGTGTCATTAGTCATTGGTCATACAGCTGTTACTTTTAACTCCACAGTGTAGTGTACGCTTTGAACCTGTCATTTAAAAGTAAGTATACTATCTTCGTTTGCTTATTCGTTTGTTTTTTTTAAAAGGAGAGAATGTTTTCCATTTGGATGCCTTTCCATCGCTAGCATGTTAATATTAAAGTTCTCTAAATGATATTCCCCTCTTTCAAAATCCCCAAATTTATAGAAGGTAAGGTTTGTTATTTAACGATTTGGGCTTACACTTGTAAAATAAGTGTTTTATATGGAGTTTGAGGAACCACAAAGTACTATAATATCAATCACTTGGGTAGCATTTTAAGTGCCCATTAACTAATGCTAAATTACAGCTGAATACCAGTGGCAACTAGATGTAACATCCACATGAATACCAAACGAATTCTTTATTATCACTCTCACTATAGCGAATACTGAATGACTTCACAATAATGGGACACTTAAAATGCTAGTGCAATTTATTGTTAAGAAGGACATTTTTTTATTTTGTTCACAAATACTTAAGAAGGTGGCTGGTGACTGATGTAGTTCTGTTGCTATGCTCAGGATTATGAGTAAGGAGGAAGTGAGATTTCTCTTTAATTTTTCAGGGCCCGGAAAAACAAAGGGGGCTCACCTGCTGCTCTCTCAGACACGGAATCGAGACCCTGAGTCCAGGTTGATTTTTGGGAGGAGAGAGAGTCCTCATTTAGGATGAAATATACAAATCGAGGGTTATGAAAACACAAATTGAAATCCATAAACTGTGATTCAGATTTGGGAACGATGGGTCTATGAATTGTTTATCTAATTTTTTTTTCCCTTCACATAAACACCAAACATAATTAAAAGAAATGTTAAGGGAAATGCAAGTGGCATTATGCTAATGATCTGGGCATAAAAAGGCTGCCATTAGTATGTGAGTGTTAGAAAATATCCATTATTGATCTAAATCACGCTTCCCACCTGCCTGGTCCCCTGCCCCTAGCCCTGCATCCCCCGAAGGAATGGAGGAACGGGGGCTGTGGTCCCCGCTGTTGAGCAGGGCATGCAAACATCCTGCTTTGTTCCAAGGAAGCCTGCTTGCTTTGCTCAGCGCACACACGGTGCAGTAGAAACGGATGCATGCGGTCTTGAAAGGTGCTCCTGCAAAGGGACTTTGTGCCTCTCTGCCACTCCTAACACCTCTTTTGATATTCTAGGAAATAGAATTCTAAATTACCTTTGATTTTCTCTCCTACATGTCACTTAATTGATTAAATACCAGTTGGTAATTTAACATTGTGGATGATTTCTCTGTTGCGTATAAGCTTGGTAATTGGCTTGATTTTTTTCTGCGTTCCCATGTACAGCATCTGTTAATTATCTGCAACACCTTTACAGATTTATGAGAGTGTACGAGCGATTTACTGCTGAACCAGAGGCACCCTGTGGAAACACCCTCGGCTTTTTTTTTCCCCCTCCAATTTTTTTTTTCTTTCCAACACTCTTCTCCACTGAATAGTTACAGTATGACAGTTTGTCATTCGTTGTGGGGACTCAACAACAGACCCTTTCAGCCTCTATTCTTTCCACCTGACTTTTCCTTGTTTCTAGTATTTTCAGGCCACCTCTTTGGGAACGGGGTTCTTTGTCAGGAGAAAAATTGGCTGTACACAAGCTAAAAGCATCCCCACTAATCACACGTGACATCCGCCTCCAAGAGCCACTGGTGTTACTTACGGCGGAATCGGCACCTCTTTCCACTGGCTGGCGTGGCCAAGTGAGGAGGCGTTGCCCATCACCTCGGTGGCCTCTCAAGACTCCCTGTGATGGGTGTCCTCTCTCCCAGGGACCTTGACCCTCTGCCCTCCCTCCCCTTTCCCTGTCCTCTGCAGTGCTCATTCCCAGGGTTCAAAGTTGACTGTGCAAATACTGCTAGCAATACAGAATTTTCTTTTGGTCCCACTACAGTTAAAATCTGTGAGCTAAGGAGAGAGGAGAGTTCAGAGAACCTATAGACCCATGAAATATGCACATCCATCAAATGGGCACTAGAACTATGCTTAAAATCATGCCATTAATACATTAGGTGTTATAATTTAGTTTTATTGTTATTCAGAGATTTATTATAAAGCAAAATTATTTTAACTCTTCGGCTTTTATTTAGAGACTTCAATTTCAGTAGGGAGAAAAATAATAATGTAGTCCTTCCCCTCTTTGTTTTGTTGAGGACAGTACATGTGAGAGAACAGACTTGATAAGGATTCACACACAATATTCAGTTTAATACAAAATAATATAATTACTTACCATGAATAATTAGAGTGTCCTGATTTTTAGGCAAGGGAGTAAAAAATTTATTGTGACTCGTTACTTTTTACAGTGAGTTTTCACATAGACTCTTTGACTGCAGTCACTCCTCTAGTAAGTAGACAAAGTAAGATATGATCCTACGATCTTTCAGTGATGTCAAAACAGCCATCACAACAAAAACACTACATGATGATGTGAAACGCCAAAAAGAAGGCATCGGTTTTATTTTGTCCTCCAGCATCTTTTGCATTTGCCATTTGGATGTCTGAATGGTGTGTGTATATGACCATGCATGGGTGCACACATACAATGTAAGGGCACTATTTTTTTTAAGATGTTATTCATTTATTAGAGAGAAATCATGAGTGGGGGGAGGGGCAGAGGGAGAGTTAGAAGCAGACCCCCCCACTGAGCAGGGAGCCCATGCTGGCTCAATCCCAGGACCATGGGATCATGACCTGAGCTGAAGGCAGATGCTCAACCTTAACCGACTGAGCCACCCAGGCGCCCTGCAGGGGCACTCTTTTGCATGAAGAATTCTTATGGTCCATGTTATCAACTTAGCAAACCAAGTGTCTAGCATAATGCTAAGGAGCTTTGCATGCATTAACTTATTTGATCCTCAAAACTATTACTATCACAGTATTCCAATGAGTAAATCAAGGTTAAGAGAGACGAAGAAACATTCCTGAATTTACACAGTGGGTTAGTGGTCGACAAGGCCTTTTATAAATGCCATCGTGCAGATTTCTTATCATTAGCTGGGAGTCCCTCCTTCTGTGCCGGGCATGGCAGGAGGCATTTCTGTGGAATCCTGCTAGGTGATGTTATTATCCCCTTTTTTGGCAAATGAGGAAATTGAGACTCAAGAGATGAAATAGTTTGCTGAAGACCCCCTGACTAGTCAGTCATTGGTGAGCCGGGATTTATCCCTGGGTCTTTCCACTCCCTACACCCCTCAGAACTTCATTCCAGATTACGCAGGGCAGTGTCTGGGAGGGAAACAATTCAGATTCTAAGCGTTCATATGTCGGTCGCGATACACCGAAAGACCACTGGGAAAAGGTATGTTGACGTGTGTCTGTGACTCTGACATCCTCCTATCTTCTGCTTTCAGGAGCTCCGGAATGCTCAAAGTGAGCAGCTCATGGGCATCCGCCGCGAAGAAGAAATGGAAATGTCAGATGATGAGAATTGTGACAGCCCTACTAAAAAAATGCGAGTCGATGAATCAGGTAATGCTGATGACCGCCACACGCGCACCCCTGTGAGGCACCATCATGCTCTTCCAGATCTCAGATGGGGTGTAGGTATTGGGAATGGCCACGTAACTCACTTTTATTTGAGTTACACTAAACTTTCATCTTTGAATGACTCTGCCTTTTATTAATAGAACTTTAAACTCCTTTTTAGGAACATGATGATTTAAATTGCTCCAGTTGTTTCTCCATCCGTAGATCTGGGGCTGTTGTACTTTTCTTAGGGATATTTGCCTATTCCCATAAAAATCCTTTTCCAGAGCGTGGCAGCCACCACTGATGCTGAAATACACATAAAATTTGGTTTCAGTCAGTGTGCTTCTTACGTGGGAATTGTTTAATCCTGGAAGAAGCTTTCTAGCCTCTGAGCCAACGTGCTGGAGAATTAGAACATTTTTCCAATAAATGTTACCTAAACCGTAATCAAAGGGGTGGCCCAGTTTGGTACCAAGAAAGGAGTATCACTCCTTGAGTTGTAAAAAGGAGAGAAGCTGAGAGAGAACCTTGCTTTATGTGCTCTGCCTGACCAGAGAGGCTGATTGAAATCTCTCTCCTCAAATTAGATGTAAATCTCTCAGTATTGGAGGCAAGATAAATGCTCACTCAGATGTGGGAGACACCAAGGAGACTGCTTGTCTGAGAGGAGTGTTGTCTAAGGGGCCTGGGAAGGACCACAATTGCCACCATTTCCAAAAAAGAAAATCAGAGGGATTGCGTAGATTTGACCTGTCTCCTCTTATGTACCCATGACTAAAATACCCATCTCAGGCTCTTTAACAAAATCAAGAACAGGAACAGAGGATCTTTGCTGATGTGTTTGTAGAAGCCAAAATCAAGATCCCAACATGCTCAGGTCAGCAAGATTGCAAAGTGGTCAGAGCGCTCTGTTTCTCCAGAGTTTAGTGAGGGCCAGGGGCGTAAATGAGGATCACAAGAAAATGCTCTGCATCAGGCAGATACAGAAGGGACTTTAATTTCATTAGAGTAGTGGTTCTTAAAAGTGTGGTCCCCAGTCCGGCAACATCAGCATCACCTAGGAACTTAGAAATGTGAATCCTCGGGTCCTACTCAATACCTAAGGAATCAGAAACTCTAGGCGAGGCAGAGGTGTTGGGGGTGTGAGATTCAGCAATCTGTGATTTAAATCCTTCCAGAAATTCTGATGCATGTTAAAGTTTCAGGACCAGTGCCTTAGAAAATTTCCCTTTAGGGCGCCTGGGTGGCTCAGTTGGTTAAGCGACTGCCTTCGGCTCAGGTCATGATCCTGGAGTCCCGGGATCGAGTCCCGCATCGGGCTCCCTGCACAGCGGGGGGTCTGCTTCTCCCTCTCCCGCTCCCCCTGCTTGTGTTCCCTCTCTCGCTGTGTCTCTCTCTGTCAAATAAATAAATAAAATCTTTAAAAAAAAAAAAAAAGAAAGAAAGAAAATTTCCCTTTCATCCTCAAATTCCACTCATTTAAATCTTTTAGAAGCTTAGCATAAAAGCAGGCGCCATGGCTCTATTTGTTGAAGCCATACATCCTTTGTCTGAGAAATGAACCTAGCATTTATGTGTCAATGTATGTCTCTGATTAAGTGGCTGTGAGATTTCTCAGGGCCGCTTGATTATTGGACTTAGACTTGCTTATTTGAGGACAGCAATCTCTGTTCGGCAAACCTTCATTTATCAAAAGAAAAGAGCGAGTTTTAATGTGAATATCTTAAGTTTAATGAGATCTTCTGATAAATAAATAATTGTTTTTTCCCCTCAAGAAAGCTTTCATCATTTCTGAAGTTTCTAGATGAGGGGCAACTTTACATGAAACTTGGATCTTTAACATTCTTATAAGGTAGGTGTAGAAGAAAAGAACTGAATCCATCAGAAATTCTTATTTGAACCCGTGGCTTTTTTTTTAATTTGGGGGTGACATTTCTTTTTAAACAAGTTATCAATTTCCCAAGTAAGGAATGTGTAAAGTTTCATAGTTTGCTCAGAAGAAGACAAGAATAAGAATGACTCAGAACAGTCAGCTCCAGTGGGAAGTCTTACAGACCATGGCAGCAAGCACAGACCCCCAGGATCAGCCCCTGAGCTCTGCTGCAGAAGAACTCAAAGTTCTGTTTGCTCAGCAGAGACACGAGATCCTCTCTGGAAGCTTCACTGAGAGCCTGCTTCCCAGATCTCTGTTGGTTTCCCCCTCAGGCATCTGGTAAGAGCCTAAGCAGGAGCTGAACTTTGAGTTCTCCAGGCTTGTTGCTTGGTCAGCGGCATGAATGAACACAGCACGGAGCATGTTCTATACCGAGTGCCGGGGAAGAGATGGAAGAACTGGAGTTCAAATGCCAGGTTCCTGGGAGTTCAGAATCTTTTTCGTGCTTTTCAAAAATGAGATGGTCCAGAGAACGCAACGTATGGTTTATGGGGGAAAGCTCAGGACCAATTAGAGGGGAGGGGAAGCAGCTAACCTTTTTTATTCCTCTGGGCCCTGAAGATCCCGCCAAAAGGCTGGCAGCTGTTTTTCTTTCAGCCCAACATATTCAGGGACATCACCTGACCACAAGAATTCCCATCTGGTGCTTTGACCAAGCTTCCGCCGGATCCCTGCAAACGGCTGCTGGAAGGGGAGGGATTGAGGCCCTGCAGCCTGAGGGAAACACACCTTTCAGCGGTATCATCAGGCGACTCCGCATTCATTTTAGGTGCAAACTGGCATCTGTCCATCACCCAGGAGCAGACATCTCAAAACTTAGTGCTCTGATTCACTGGCGGCAATTGCCAAGGGCTGACCTAGAAGTAAATGCCTCTATTCTTTAAAGAATCCCTTGCCGTCCTCCTTTCTGCTCAAACAGTGAGCTTTGGCCTCCAACCTCCCGGTCAGTGGGTGACCCAAGACTTCTTGGGAATTCCAGGGGAGAACATCCTTCGTGGAGCCTCCTGCCCTAGAGGACTGTGGCAAAGCCACCTCCTTGCAGGATGAGTGAGGCGGGTCCACCACGGCCTCCCTTGCTCTTCACTTCCTCCTAGAGCAGAGACCAACCTGCATGGCTTTTATTTCTGAGGGGGAGGCGGAGAGAGTCGACTTTGGTTTCTAGAAAGGACAGGATTTTTTTGTGAGGACTTATGTGATAGCTTGGGTTTATTTATTTATTTATTTTTAAATCCATGTCTTTTAGGATATCTCTGCTTTTCTGGTTATGAAGAAGATTTCATTGTACTTTTGCCTTTTACCACACGTAATAACTCCGCAATGTGTCTTTGGCTAGAGAGTTCCCCACTACTGTCCTCACTACCATCTAATTCTGGGCAGGCAGCTCACTGTTCCTTATCAGTTGACTCTTAAAGGGGAAACGGAGTTTGCTGGAGCAAAACTAAGATGCCGATAAAAATGAAAATGAGTTTTGTTAATAAATTTGAAAATCAAGACAGATTTATCGAAGCATTCATTCAAGAAGATTGGCATCCTGCTCCAAAACCTATGAAGATAATTTTTGATAAAAATTCAAATTTATTGCTGCAAAGTCTGCCTCTCACTGGAATTAAGCCCAACTTTAAAAACCAGATCTATTGCTCCTTCTACCCCTCCCTCCTCCAGGTTGGCAGTGGGGGTGGGCAGGAGTGCACAGGGGGAAAAGGGAGGAAAAGAGGAAGTCTGTCCAGAGTGTAAGGCCTCGTGTGGGGGGCGGAGCCCGATCAGGTGTACTATGGAGTCCATGCGGGTAGAGACCTCCCAGCTGTACTTACAGTGTCATGGCAAGTGCTCAGTCACTGTGAACTCTGCTTGCCTTAGTCACCCTCCAGCACTTGGCCCTGGGCCTTTCACTGAGTAAGTGAATTTTGTTGACTTCAATTGCATATTCCCCTTCTTCTTTTTGATGCCTTTGTCCTATAAGTTGATGGGAAGGGTGTAACCCTGAGAACATTTGCTCGAAATTTAAATGGCAAGCATTAAGAAGCTTGTTCAAACAAGGATGATCCATTTCTCCAAAATGTGCAAAACTCTTACCCATTCAGAATCCAGTGCCATGTGCTGAATAGGCTAGGGCCCAGAGAGCTGACGCTCAGCATCATTCTAATTATCAACAAACATTTGTCAAGCCCTTCTTGTGCTCAAGGCACTGTGAGCCCAGGAGATATGGAGAGGGCTAGACAGTCTGTCCTGCCCTCAAGAGTGTGAGATACTTTTTGAAGAGAAGAACTATACATTTTAAGTCAATAAAAGTACAGTGCCGAAATGCCTCAAAGCCTAATGCCAAATATGTTCTAAAGCCATTGCTTTAAATTCAATATAAACCAAAATGAATATCACTATCCAGCGTATGCACCTTATCCAGTATATGGTGAGTATAGATTGTACATTGAATGCAAATTTTAGAAGAGTAAAACTAAAATATCTTTTCATAATAGACCACCCTTAAAACATTTCATAATGCACAAACAAATGTTCTTGGATTTTGATTACACCTCATTTAAACTCTGAGCTCTTTATAGGAGCACATACTCTTTTAATTATGAAAAGTGTTTTCTTGGTTGTTGATTTGCCATGGAAACTTACCACATGTAGGTACAGATTTATTTTTCTAATTTCAATAAGATGTCCAGCAAGGATTTCCCAAATCTTTCAGCTAACTGATTCCAATCAAGTTCAGTTGGAATTAGCAGTGTTCAGTTTTCTGAATAATTCTACATGTAGCCAAAAGCTTGAGGTTAAAAAAAAATTAATAGTAATAATAATTACGCTCTCTCTGACTATCCCCTTGATCTGTTTTTTGGGGTTTTTTTAAGATTTTTTAAATTTATTTGACAGAGAGAGACACAGCAAGAGAGGGAACACAAGCAGGGGGAGTGGGAGAGGGAGAAGCAGGCTTCCCGCTGAGCAGGGAGCCCGATGCGGGGCTCGATCCCAGGACCCTGGGATCATGACCTGAGCTGAAGGCAGACGCTTAACAACTGAGCCACCCAGGTGCCCCTCTTTGTTTTTTTTTTTAAGGATTTATTTA